TCCTCCCATTTGCACCAGTAACGGCGTGGTTAATGTTCAAGTTACCACCGATGTTGTGACAAGACATACCTGCGTCATGCAAGCCAATGACTTGCCGTCGTGCATTTTGTGAAGTCTTGCGATGTCAAGAAAAACATATAATAGATATATTATATTTTACCCCTAATTTTACCGCATCCTGTAACTTTCGACACAGATTTTAAGATATTGTATAAAGCACATGTTATGCATCTCCCCCCCCACGTATGTCCCCCTCTCCCTTAAGAAGACGCCAATTAACCAATCCACCCGCGACCCACTCCACAAAAAACACAAAAAGCATACAAAGAGCAAAGCAAAATCAATTAGACATTAAAGAAGATCCCAAACCCAACCCAGAACAAATAAATAAATAAATAAATAAATAAATAAATAAATAAATAAATAAATAAATAAATAAATAAATAAATAAATAAATAAATAAATAAATAAATAAATAAATAAATAAATAAATAAATAAATAAATAAATAAATAAATAAATATTGCTGTACGCACTCGCTCATTCACTTCCTGCTGCAGTGGTCCTTGACATGTGGTTGTAAATGTTATTGGGGAGTACCGTCACTTTTCATATCAAAAGACACTGGGTGATTTTGATATGTATCCTGCAAAATCATTCTTCCAACTTTGAAAACAGTAGTTTTCGGTAGCGCTTTAAGTGACAGACGGATTTGTGATGCCATTTGAATTAATGTCATGGCGACAAATGATTTGACAATGACCTTCAACGCCTTGTAATGCACACCTCTTCTAAGTTTCACACGCATTTCATCACATGCCTTGTTTATTGTCTGTTCGTTTGGAAGATTGTCCACCATGATGGCACCCTTGGCATCCGGGAACACCCGATGATGGAAGGATATACGTGATGTCAAATACACCCATTGATTTTACTGTTTGGAATCCAGTTGAAGCTGGTGAGCCTGGGTTTGATCCATAATCAAAACTCGTTGCAAAAACCTTTCTGGGCCATCTTCAAACAGATCGAGATCACCACGAGACATATATGTTTTGTATCAGGAGACAGAACCAAGCTGGCACTTTTATCATTACAAAAGTTTCTGTGATAACGACATGTGCCGTGACGAAATGTACTGTGACAGTGAATCATCACAGAAAATAAATCCCTCTGCATCATTGCTAGTGCTGCTGACGTCACAGGACTTCCCTGAAAGAGGTCGTCTTTGAAACCATCACTATTAAGCTTCAACTCCGCTGTCCACTTCTTTACAATGGCATAGGACAGGTCATACGTCCGTAGTGTTGTCTATATATCTTCAAAGACGGTTTTAGTGTTAAGCCCTTTTCTGAAAGTATATCATCAATGTACTTCCCCCATTTTCCAAAGTTCACGGGTCCCTGCGAATTGTACGAACATATTTTTCTTGTTGATTGTGATATAAGCAGGGGCCTGTGGCCACAGCACCATTTGTATTGATATACTGGCATCGTTACTGACGGAAACAAAATATTTCATCTCAGTACAAATAAATCAACCACTGGAAAGTTTAAAACAAACTTAATGTCTCGACAGCACGTCTTGGCGTGATGTCTGTCGGTTGTCTTGAAGTATCATCTGGCTTGAATTACAAGAGAACGAACATCAATCACACTAAAAGATCAAATAAGCTCCAGTTTAGATTTGGTTATCATGCCAAATCTCGGTATATCAGTATCAATGAAACATGTATTTATTGTTTGTCAATTAAACAAAGCAATTGTGGATGACATTTAATCTTCCTGTTCGTCCCACTCGTTGATACGACGTGAAAGTCTTCCATTTCTTACATTTTTAACGCTGTAATATCTCACGCTCACTGGTGGAACACATATTGTATTGACACATCAATAACATCCTCTCGCAATGATGGTATCTCCAATACTCCAATACCTCATGAAAATCTTCTTTCTGTTCGAAGATTATCCAGAAAGGTTCTTGCAAAGTGATTTGACTGTGGATCAAATTAGTACAGGTATACGACATCACCAGCAAATATGTTCCCTTGTCCGGTTATGACATCCATGTTCGAGGATTGCAAGGGTGTCACCTTGGTTGACTTTCTTCCTAAAGGCCAGAAAATAAACAAGGCTTGTCATACTGCACCTTTGAGGCAACTTTGATGCTTGAGAAAATTCGTGGTCTCAGATCAGGGCACAAATCGATCATTGCCCTGGATATAATCCACGAATATGACTTTGGATTTCTTCAAAATCCACCTTCTCCTGATCTGACTTCGTCAAACTTTCATCTGTTACCAAACATGAAGAAAGCCCTCCCCGGAACACATTTTGAATCCAATGTTGTCGTCAAAACTGCACCACACACACCCACATAGACACAACACAACAGCATACATTATAAGCGCATACAATATGATGGACATTATAACCCCGGATAACGCAAGCTGATTGTGAGGCGTGAGAGGTTAAATAGACATTTTTACTGCTGGATAACCCAAGCTGATTGTGAGGCATTAGAGGTTAAATAGACATTTTTACTGCTGGATAAGCCAAGCTGATTGTGAGGCGTTAGAGGTTAAATAGTCATTTTACTGCTGGATAACCCAAGCTGATTGTGAGGCGTTAGAGGTTAAATAGTCATTTTACTGCTGGATAACCCAAGCTGATTGTGAGGCGTTAGAGGTTTAATAGTCATTTTTTACGGCTGGATAACCCAAGCTGATTGTGAGGCTTGAGAGGTTAAATAGTCATTTTTTACTGCTGGATAAGTCAAGCTGATTGTGAGGCGTGAGAGGGTAAATAGTCATTTTACTTGATGGAGGAGGACTGACTGACAAAGTGTAATTAAGTCCACAGATATCAGGTATATTGTCCTCAATCATGCAACTGGCAGACATGTCACGACATAAATAAAAAATATTTTAGGAAATCAATCAAATGCTTTTTGCCGCCACCTTTGAACATTTGACGGGTATGAACATTTGAATCCGGACCTTCATCTGAAGTAGGACAGGATGACGGCAGCTGCGGCAATCTGTCTCGTTTGCCTGGCTCTACTCTCAGTGGATGGGAGACAGACAGTTAAGAACTACTGCTACAAAAAGAGACGAGTCTCTGTTTCAGAGTCAGCAGTTAAAGTTTGGAATGGATCTAGACTTGACTGTGCTCAGTTCTTTGCAGGTTCCAAGAAAGGGAAATGTCACTCTTTCGTTTACGACAATGTTACAGGACTTTGTCTAAACGTCACTGGCGACATGTTTGGCAAAGATACAATTAGAACGACGAGAGCTGAGAAGTGGGTTTTGATACCATGTAAAGGTAAGGCAAATAGTAACGTGATCGCATGTCATTCATGTGTAGCATATAGTCACGTGGGCGAGTGTCATGTACAGGTAAGGTATATAGTCACGTGGGCGAGTGTCATGTACGAGAGGGGAGGGAGGTAGGTGTCATTTGGGTGATGGTGGTAGCGACAGGGGGAGAGGTGGGTGTCATTTGGGTGATGGTGGTAACGAGAGGGGTGTCATTTGGGTGATGGTGGTAACGAGAGGGATGTCATTTGGGTGATGGTGGTAACGAGAGAGGTGGGAGGTAGGTGTGATTTGGGGGATGGTGGTAACGAGAGGGGTGTCATTTGGGTGATGGTGGTAAAGAGAGAGGTGGGAGGTAGGAATCATTTGGGTGATGGTCGTAACGAGAGAGGTGGGAGGTAGGAGTCATTTGGGTGATGGTGGTAACGAGACAGGTGGGAGGTAGGAGTCATTTGGGTGATGGTGGTAACGAGAGAGGTGGGAGGTAGGTGTCATTTGGGGATGGTGGTGGCAACGAGAGAGGTGGGAGGTAGGTGTCATTTGGGTGATGGTGGTAACGAGAGAGGTGGGAGGTAGGAGTCATTTGGGTGATGGTGGTAACGAGAGAGGTGGGAGGTAGGTGTCATTTGGGGGATGGTGGTAACGAGAGAGGTGGGAGGTAGGAGTCATTTGGGTGATGGTGGTAACGAGACAGGTGGGAGGTAGGAGTCATTTGGGTGATGGTGGTAACGAGAGAGGTGGGAGGTAGGTGTCATTTGGGGGATGGTGGTAACGAGAGGTGGGAGGGAGTAGGTGTCATTTGGGGGATGGTGGCAACGAGAGAGGTGGGAGGTAGGAGTCATTTGGGTGATGGTGGTAACGAGACAGGTGGGAGGTAGGTGTCATTTGGGTGATGGTCATGTGACGAGAGGTGGGAGGAGTAGGAGTCATTTGGGTGATGGTGGTAACGAGACAGGTGGGAGGTAGGAGTCATTTGGGTGATGGTGGTAACGAGAGAGGTGGGAGGTAGGTGTCATTTGGGTGATGGTGGTAACGAGAGAGGTGGGAGGTAGGTGTCATTTGGGGATGGTGGTAACGAGAGGGATGTCATTTGGGTGATGGTGGTAACGAGAGAGGTGGGAGGTAGGTGTCATTTGGGGGATGGTGGTAACGAGAGAGGTGGGAGGTAGGTGTCATTTGGGTGATGGTGGTAACGAGAGGCGTGTAATTTGGGGTGATGGTGGTAACGAGACAGGTGGGAGGTAGGAGTCATTTGGGTGATGGTGGTAACGAGAGAGGTGGGAGGTAGGTGTCATTTGGGTGATGGTGGTAACGAGAGGGATGTCATTTGGGTGATGGTGGTAACGAGAGAGGTGGGAGGTAGGTGTCATTTGGGGGATGGTGGTAACGAGAGTGATGTCATTTGGGTGATGGTGGTAACGAGAGAGGTGGGAGGTAGGTGTCATTTGGGGGATGGTGGTAACGAGAGAGGTGGGAGGTAGGTGTCATTTGGGTGATGGTCGTAACGAGAGAGGTGGGAGGTAGGAGTCATTTGGGTGATGGTGGTAACGAGACAGGTGGGAGGTAGGAGTCATTTGGGTGATGGTGGTAACGAGAGAGGTGGGAGGTAGGTGTCATTTGGGGGATGGTGGTAACGAGAGGGATGTCATTTGGGTGATGGTGGTAACGAGAGAGGTGGGAGGTAGGTGTCATTTGGGGGATGGTGGTAACGAGGAGGGATGTCATAAGGGTGATGGTGGTAACGAGAGAGGGAGGGAGGTAGGAGTCATTTGGGTGATGGTGTGGTAACGAGAGGTGGGAGGTAGGTGTCATTTGGGTGATGGTGGTAACGAGAGGGGTGGGAAGTAGGTGTCATTTGAGTGATGGTGGTAACGAGAGAGGTGGGAGGTAGGTGTCATTTGTGTGATGGTGGTAACGAGAGGGGTGGGAAGAAGGTGTTATTTGAGTGATGGTGGTAACGAGAGAGGTGGGAGGTAGGTGTCATTTGGGGGATGGTGGTAACGAGAGGGGTGTCATTTGGGTGATGGTGGTAAAGAGAGAGGTGGGAGGTAGGAATCATTTGGGTGATGGTGCTAACGAGAGGGGTGGGAAGTAGGTGTCATTTGAGTGATGGTGGTAACGAGAGAGGTGGGAAGTAGGTGACATTTGAGTGATGGTAGTAACTAACGCGAGGTTTGGGAGGTAGGTGTCATTTGAGTGATGATGGTAACGCGAAGGTGGTGGGAGAATGGGGTGTCATTTTAAGTGATGGTGGTAACGCGAGGGTTTGGGAGGTAGGTTTCATTTGAGTGATGGTGGTAACGCGAGGGTTTGGGAGGTAGTTGTCATTTGAGTGATGGTGGTAACGCGAGGGGTGGGAGGTAGGTTTCATTTGGGGGATGGTGGTTACGAGAGGGCTGGGAGGTAGGTGCCAATTAGGTGATGGGAGAGAGGTGGGAGGTAGGAGTCATTTGGGTGATGGGGGGTAACGCGAGGGCTGGGAGGTAGGTGCCAATTAGGTGATGGGAGAGAGGTGGGAGGTAGGAGTCATTTGGGTGATGGTGGTTACGAGAGGGCTGGGAGGTAGGTGCCAATTAGGTGATGGGAGAGAGGTGGGAGGTGGTGTCATTTGGGCGATGGTGGTAAGGACAATGGGAGAGGTAGATGTCATTGGGGGATGGTCGTAACGAGAGGGGTGCGAGGTAGGTGCCCGGGAAATGATACTGATGATGATGGTGATGATGGTGTCGATGATGATGTCGATGATGATGATGATGATGATGATGATGATGATGATGATGATGATGATGATGATGATAATAGTAGGAGGTAGAATATTTTCAATGAGTATAACATATCTTCTTTCAGATCAGAGACCTTGTGGTCACCTAAGAGGACATGCATTCCGACTTAAACCACAAGCGTTAACAACTCTTCATATTAGTGGTCAGGATTTACGTAAGCTGACTATATTCCTATCTATTCAGAACTGCCGTGGGGTAAGATTCGCTTTCTTACCTCGTCATGCCTACAGCCACAGTGTGATGTTGTTCAACGCCGTCTCCGTCACATTACCTGAACCCGGAAACAGGTCAATCACGTTATTAAACTGTACGGAACCATGCAGCAATGCCAAAAGAAGAATGTCCGCTCCAACTTGACCATGCCCGTGTGCAACGAGTTATCTCCCTTTTGGGTTAAATGGATTCAGGGCGATGTGTTCACCTTCAAGGTCGGCTATGGCGAAATGATCGGGAAAGAAACTGTAGCAGAATTCAAGTTTCCAGAGACGCCCCCTTAAAGTATTTTGTAATTATGAACAATGACACTGCCACACTCAGGTATTCCTCCACCAAAAGAATCAAGCGATTCTAGTGCGGTATAGTAGCTTAGTGGTTACTGCGTTCGTTTGACACATCGATTTCTGGTTTCATTCCACAGTCTGACTGACTGACTGACTGAGTTTGGTTTTACGCCGCTTTTAGCAATATTCCAGCAACATCACGGCGGGGGACACCAGAAATGGGCTTCACACATTGTACCCATATGGGGATTTGAACCCGGGTCTTCGGCGTGACAAGCCAACGCTTTTAACCATTAGGCTACCCCACCGCCCTCCTCAGTCTGAGGGATACTGAGGTAGCCTAGTGGGTAAAGCGTTCGCTCGTCATGTCGAAGACACGGGTTCGTTCCGCACTTGGTTACAGTGTGCTAAGCCAATTTTCTATGCGTCCCGTCGTGATATTGCTGGATTAAACGGGGTAAAACCACACTCACTCACCATGTTATCGGTTTATGCATGAATGTTTCGTGATATCTACGATACATATTACCTGCTACACGTATCAACCTCTTAGGAAACAAATTTCCTTCGGGACAATAAAATAAAAATCTTATCTTTTATCCGTCTTATGTTGTGGTTGTACTGCACTACTGTTGTATGTCTCCAATAGACTGTGGTATAATATGGTTGAAGTATATTACTGGTTTCGTGGAATATACTATGGAATATGGTTGTACAGTATTACTGTTGTATGTGTACAATATACTGTGGTATAATATGGTTGTAGTATATTACTGTTTTCGTGGAATATACTATGGAATATTGTTGTACAGTATTACTGTTGTGTATGTACAATATACTGTGGTATATGGTTGAAGTATATTACTGGTTTCGTGGAATATACTATGGAATATGGTTGTACAGTATTACTGTTGTATGTGTACAATATACTGTGGTATAATATGGTTGTAGTATATTACTGTTTTCGTGGAATATACTATGGAATATTGTTGTACAGTATTACTGTTGTGTATGTACAATATACTGTGGTATATGGTTGAAGTATATTACTGGTTTCGTGGAATATACTATGGAATATGGTTGTACAGTATTACTGTTGTATGTGTACAATATACTGTGGTATAATATGGTTGTAGTATATTACTGTTTTCGTGGAATATACTATGGAATATTGTTGTACAGTATTACTGCTGTGTATGTACAGTATACTGTGGTATAATATGGTTGAAGTATATTACTGTTTTCGTGGAATATACTATGGAATATGGTTGTACAGTATTACTGCTGTGTATGTACAATACACTGTGGTATATGGTTGAAGTATATTACTGTTTTCGTGGAATATACTATGGAATATGGTTGTACAGTATTACTGCTGTGTATGTACAATAGACTGTGGTATCATATGGTTGAAGTATATTACTGTTTTCGTGGAATATACTATGGAATATGGTTGTACAGTATTACTGCTGTGTATGTACAATAGACTGTGGTATCATATGGTTGAAGTATATTACTGTTTTCGTGGAATATACTATGGAATATGGTTGTACAGTATTACTGCTGTGTATGTACACTACACTGTGGTATATGGTTGAAGTATATTACTGTTTTCGTGGAATATACTATGGAATATTGTTGTACAGTATTACTGCTGTGTATGTACAGTATACTGTGGTATAATATGGTTGAAGTATATTACTGTTTTCGTGGAATATACTATGGAATATGGTTGTACAGTATTACTGCTGTGTATGTACAATACACTGTGGTATATGGTTGAAGTATATTACTGGTTTCGTGGAATATACTATGGAATATGGTTGTACAGTATTACTGCTGTGTATGTACAATAGACTGTGGTATCATATGGTTGAAGTATATTACTGTTTTCGTGGAATATACTATGGAATATGGTTGTACAGTATTACTGCTGTGTATGTACAGTATACTGTGGTATAATGTGGTTGAAGTATATTACTGTTTTCGTGGAATATACTATGGAATATTGTTGTACAGTATTACTGCTGTGTATGTACAGTATACTGTGGTATAATATGGTTGAAGTATATTACTGTTTTCGTGGAATATACTATGGAATATGGTTGTACAGTATTACTGCTGTGTATGTACAATACACTGTGGTATATGGTTGAAGTATATTACTGTTTTCGTGGAATATACTATGGAATATGGTTGTACAGTATTACTGCTGTGTATGTACAATAGACTGTGGTATCATATGGTTGAAGTATATTACTGTTTTCGTGGAATATACTATGGAATATGGTTGTACAGTATTACTGCTGTGTATGTACAATAGACTGTGGTATCATATGGTTGAAGCATATTACTATATTACTGTTTTCGTGGAATATACTATGGAATATGGTTGTACAGTATTACTGCTGTGTATGTACAGTAGACTGTGGTATATGGTTGAAGTATATTACTGTTTTCGTGGAATATACTATGGAATATGGTTGTACAGTATTACTGCTGTGTATGTACAGTATACTGTGGTATATGGTTGAAGTATATTACTGGTTTCGTGGAATATACTATGGAATATGGTTGCACAGTATTACTGCTGTGTATGTACAATAGACTGTGGTATATGGTTGAAGTATATTACCGGTTTCGTGGAATATACTATGGAATATGGTTGTACAGTATTACTGCTGTGTATGTACAGTACACTGTGGTATATGGTTGAAGTATATTACTGGTTTCGTGGAATATACTATGGAATATGGTTGCACAGTATTACTGTTGTATGTGTACACTACACTGTGGTATAATATGGTTGAAGTATATTACTGGTTTCGTGGAATATACTATGGAATATGGTTGCACAGTATTACTGTTGTATGTGTACAATATACTGTGGTATATGGTTGTACTGTATTGGTGTTGTTTACGTAGAATATACTATGGTATCGGAGGTTGTACTATATTACTGTTCACGTTGAATATACTATGGTATATGGTTTTACTGTATTACTGTATTTGGACCCTGAACAAACTCTCTTCATTTATCAATTTATCTACCTGTGATGAATTGATCTTCAGTAACCTATGCTTGTGGTAAAAGGCAACTAAAGGGATCAGACCGCCTCCGTGGTGTAGTGGTTAGAGCGTCCACCCGGAGAGAGGAAGGTCGCAGGTTCGATCCCCGACCGCGTCATACCAAAAGACGTTAAAATATGGCACTTGTTGATCCCTGCCTGGCGCTCGGCATTAATGGGTACAAGGACTGGTCGGCTCGGAGTCCGTAGAATGTGTCTGAGTGGGTTATTCATGCTTCACTGCAGCATGGTATCTCAGTGGGTTAGCACTATAAAACCAGCTTAAGTCTGGGCTAGTACCAGCAGCCGCACATACACTTACACACGCATGCACGTCGTCATATGAGCGAAATATTCTCAAGCACGACGTAAAACCCAATTTCACCTCACCTCACCTAACGGGATCGGGTGGTCAGGCTTGCTGACTTGGTTGACACATGTCATTGTATCTCAAATACGTAGATCGATGCTCAAGATGTTTATCACTGGATTGTCTGGTCCAGACTCGATCATTTATAGACAGCCGCGACATCGCTGGGATATTGCTGAGTGTGGCGTTAAACAACAAACCCACCAAACCTTCATATCTAACACATTTATTCAGGACACTCCCTGAATATGAATTGGTCCAACCACAATAACAAGTTGTCTTCAGAAGAAACAGAACTTTATTGATATCCCTTATAACAAAATGGCTGACAGTGTTCCTCACAACAAAAACAAGGTTCTCCTCATGCTCAGCATTGCTATACAGAAGGATGACGTCAACAGATGCTTGGTGTTCTTCACCAGACAGGCTAGGGCACAAGACAGCACCTTGCAGGCCAACTCTAGGATAAACCCTTGGCGTAACTTCTGTCAGTCACGATGATATTCCTGCACAAAGTGATGGTTGTTTTTACGAAACAAGCATGATATATGTTAATATTATTGATAAAGACTGATGGTTCACTTCTCTGAGTGGCATTTTAGAAGTTTGAAAGTACAATAAAGACAAATTTTATGAATATAACCTATTTCATGAGTGCTTCGTTTCGATACAGTTTCATACAAGAATCTGTGTCAAAACATCGCATTCACGAATTAAAGAAGTTGTTATCCATAAAGTTTGTCTATTTTAAATTGATGGGTGAGTTATATATGAAACAAGCTTCACATTTCTTAATATTAAAAATTAAAAAATAATGACACAATTACTAAAACATCACATGATATCCATCCCACCCTAACTCACAGTGGTAGAAACATCTTTTAGTTTTACGCTTTTAAATCCAGCAATATCACACGGCCGGGGAACACAAAAAAATCGAACTCATTTAAGTTATAGCTTGTACACTGGCGTGAGATCATATGTGATTCCATACAGCCAAGCGCTGACACCCGCTGACACCCGAAGGTCCGGCTTAGAAATGATCATGAGTAACCCATGCTTGTCATAGGAGGCTGACTAACGGGATCCGGTGATCAGGCTCGCTGACTTGGTTGACCCGTCATCGTATCCCAGTTGCGTAGATCGATGCTCATGTTGCTGATCACTAAATTGTCTGGTCCAGACTCGGTTATTTTCAGACCGCTGCCATATAGCTGGAATATTGCTGAGTGTGGCGTAAAACTAAACTCACTCACTCATAGGTTGGTTTGAATGGTTTGCTCATTCATACCTACAATCCAGAAACCTTGACACTGATTGGCTGAATACATAGTTCACCTGGATCAACAACCTATGGAGATGAGCTCAGATCTTACCCAGAATCTAGAAACTTTGACATTGATTGGCTGAATACAAAGCTGCAAGAGTTGTATGATCCCGGGAGCTGAGATTGAAATATACAATGTGCCCTTGAGATTGACATCCTATGATTGAGGGAAAAACAAAGCGCCTTTGAGCCTTAGGGGTTCCTGGTGCACCTAAGGGACACAACTCTGAAAAGTCAATTACAATGTCTTAAACTTGTGGGCCACCCTTGCCCTGAAACAACTGCTGACATGGAGTTAGTGGGTGAGTGAGTGAGTGAGTTTTTATGCCACTTTTAGCAATATTCCATCAATATCACAAGGAACACCAGAAATGGGCTTCACACATTGTGCCCATGTGGGGAATCGAACCCGGCCTTCAGCATGATGAGCGAAAATGCTTTAATCACTAGGCCACCCTACCACCCCTGCTGAAATGTTACATTCAAAGAATGGTTCTGAAGAAGGGAGTTAAAGGCAGTTTTCATACCAGTTATAATACAATATACATATACAATACACAAAAATATAACCTATGTACAATTGTGGCAAGATTGTAACAGATATAGAACTATAATACAAAATAAACACAATAAAATCAACAAATACAACTTTCCAAAATATTCATCTCCATTTTTAAACCTAAATTCATAAAATACACAAATTGCTATTCTTCTGATTACATGAACTCCCATCTGTAGTTATAACTGCTTTGATCATTTCATGTTTGCATGAAACGACAATGCCACTGAGAGGTAGGATATTTCAAGTCTTGTACACTACCTACCTGCCAATGACTGACTGACTGAGTTTGGTTTACGCCGCTTTTAGCAATATTCCAGCAACATCACGGCGGGGAACACCAGAAATGGGCTTCACACATTGTACCCATGTGGGGATTCGAACCTGGGTCTTCGGCGTGACGAGCCAACGCTTTAACCACTAGGCTACCCCACTGTCCCTACCTGCCAATGAGGTACAAGCAACCTCTGAACATTGTGTTCATGAGTTAATTCCTCATCTTAGGAATGGCAACTCTTAATGCCTGTGTATAAACATGGAATGCCATTTCTTAAATCTCACATATTTTCCTAAAGAAATTACAAGAATGCTGTTTATATATTCCCCCAACACATAAAAATGTGTTCTGCTAAGATGTTTTCCCCATTTTTTCAGTCGTTTTGATTGGAGTTTGATGTGTGGATTTAAGATCAGGCCTTGATTTCTCCAAAAACATACTCAAGTCCGAATTTTGACTTAAATTACGTGTTTTTCCACAAATTTGAGCAACACAGGAACACGCATTACCCAGATAAACCTCAATTGATATTGAACTTGAACTTGGTGGACAATTGGAGTTTGGTAGATAGGTTTGGGCTTTTTCATCATAGAAATGCAACTGAGTTAGAAACTCATCTGTTTCAAATTGTCAAAGTCAGTCAGAAAAGGGGAGTAAAAATTATAATTTCTTTCGGTGATGTCTACGTCCCTGGACTGACTGACGTGTCAATCTTGTATCGTGGTTGCTGTTGCCTTACAAAATGGTATTCTGGATGCCACAAAAAGTTGGTGGTATGCATATGCCATGTTTTGAAATATATTTAAGCGTTTTTCCTTCAAAGGGGATAAAATTGCAAAATATCTGGCCCTAAGCTTATGAGCAATACCTGGTTTTGCATTCTTTATGAAAATTCTAGTCACAAGTCACGTTTACCAGCGATTAACAAAGATCTGATTCAAGTTCTTAAACTGGATGCCAAAAAACGTTAAGCATAATGCTGGAACATAGACACAGAAACTGACACCCATCATAACCAAACATTGCTGATAATGACTGGATTGTTTACAAGTCATTGTCACGGAAGTGGAATATTGCTGAGTTTGGTTTCAATAAACTATTTCTACAGAAATAGTGATTGTGGCTTGCATTTTCTATCATAAACATATGTTTGTCTTCAGCAACAGTCTGACAATGTACACAATGATTTAGGGCACAGTTGACTTTCAGCAGGTTTAATGTCATCATAGCATGATGTCACTGGATGCATTAGTCTACTGATGTTGAAATAATACTTTGTGATTCAATGGAGAACACAGATATGGAAACAGCATTTACAGCAAAAATAAAATGTTAGTTAAATCTACCATGTATACACAGACTTTATCGAGTCCAGACTTTATCGAGTCCAGACTTTATCGAGTCCATACTTTATCGAGTCCATATTTTACTGAGTCCATACTTTATCGAGTCCATATTTTACTGAGTCCAGACTTTATCGAGTCCAGACTTTTACTGAGTCCAGACTTTATCGAGTCCAGACTTTACTGATCGAGACTTTATTGAGCAGATCCTCATCATCAGCATCAGGTAAAACCCTGTACTACCCACACACTTTGGTTGAAACATTGTAAATAATTCTCCCTGAACATGATTATTCGTTTGATGGTGATTGGCTTGTAAATACATCTGTTCCAAAGTTTCCACTGCCTTGAGAATGTCACATGAATGCGTAGTCATTTATTTCATCATCCTGTCATCAAATGATTAGTGATCAATCCAAACACAGATTAACGTAGTAGTTTCAAACTGACATCAAGAAACCTACATTTTTCTGCATATTCTAAAGTCATGGAACTAACAAAAATAATTCACTTGCAAAAAATAATCCATAAAGCTTCATTTTCTATGACATAATAATTCCTACTTAAAATTTCAGTGTATCTGAGTAACCATAGCATGCACGACTTTGATGTAGTTAAAGGGAAGTAACTCTGGAATGAAGTGACTGCTGATTACGGTGATATGAAATGTACTCTTTATTGTTTTCAAATGTTCAGCATTCATGATGATCTGTTTCATATAAATGGTTACAAAATATAACGGAATTTGTCATAAATCAATAGATCCTAAATGTAACAAATTTATTTGAAAAGGTCAAGGTCATCAATGTTTGACTAAAAGTAACTGTTACTTTTGGATCATTAAATCTTTCAAAACAAATTTTTGGGATGTCGTTATTAACAGAATGTCCTATTGAAGAATCAAATACTATTCAAACAGGAGATAGTTTCTGTGGTAAAATATTTGCACCAAAAACCTTTTTATCAACTCATCTACACCTGGACAGCAAATGGCATAAAATTGAGAAAGGTTTCCAACGCTGACATGTACACATGTATACATAAGGTGTACCATTTTACAGATTTTTAAATGCGGAAATTAAAAGCTGATGTACACAATGTAAAGATTCTCATACAATTCTATATGGATTGAAAAAAGTTATATTTACAAAGTTTGTGATAATTATCCTTGACAGTTATTTAGACAAGCATTACCTTTCCAATCTATGTACCTGGAGTTTAATGTACTGTGACACTGTCTGCAGATCAACCAATCAGAAACTGAGAACAGAAGATCTGCTGATTGGTCAATTATTGTCTTTGTCATACATCTGATTGGTTTAGGGACATTTATAAGAATATAATTTGCATGCACTTTCAACTCCCTTGTAATGTGGAAATATCCTCTTCAGATAACTCTGACTATTCTAGTCTAGATGTCTGAACACAAGTAACAACATCTCAAGCACAATAACACAAGGCTGCCTTGAAGACTGGTCACCATGGAAGACATCTGATGCTGAGGTCACATCTCAAAAGAACTAACACCACTTTCACAAATAAATGCACAAGAACTTTTGAGATGGTCCCCGAAGGCCTGAGCAGTATTCACACAACCGAGGAGGATCATAGAGTACACATGCACTCTAAATGTAGAAATAACAATCATATTTATATTATGCTGACCAAACGATATTGGCAAGTAAGTGTTCAGGAGGCACCCAAACTCATCCATTTCTTCATAAAAATCTGTATAATAAACATTTAGACTCGGATGGGACAATAGGAAAATAATATTAAACATTCACACATGAAAAAGACCTATATTGACATCATCTGCATTTGAATAACAGAAGCTAAATATTATGAAATATTATTCAACAACAGGTCCACATTTGCAACCACTGGCTGAAAGCATTTATCCATTGCTGAATTCATAATTGAGACCACTTTATAACCCTTAATTTCTAATGTCTCAAAACACTCATTAGTGACAACCACAAAAGATTATTGAATATTCTCGGTCAAAAAATTAATATCTACAGATGCAGTTAAATACAATGTTGGCTGAAGTTCACAACTATAAATATAACTCGCAAAAATGTAGCACATATAACATGCATTACAGTTGAGATCCTAGATCAGAAAACCTTTCAACAGAATAAATGTAAATACAGGTTAGACAGATTGATTAGAAAACCTTTCATTGTGATTATGAAAATATACAATATAAAAGTTGCATAAAAAATATTGTGCCATATTGTGTACAAAATTGTCAGCAGATTTGTCCAATACTGAAATTGTCACCAAAATTTACGAACATAAATATACAGAGATGTAGACATTTAGCACAGATCATAATTATTAAGTGGTTTGTACAGATCAGTCTGAATACAAAATGGTTGTCATGGTTACGCACTCGATTGACTGCCATGTCTGAAAACAGGGTTAAGTTGGTGAACAGGCACATACGCCATGTTTTGATTTCTCCTAGAAGAAGCTGACACAGTCTGTATGGTGGGACCATTGTCGCTATGGCGATGCTGGGGATTCTGGGATGTCGGTCTGTCCGTCAGAGGCACATGTGCTGGTTTTCTACGAGAAAACTCACGACGGGGTAATTTGTCTGAAGTACTGTCTTTATTCCCAGCAACCTCATTTTCAATACTTTTCACTTTCCTAAACGACCTTGTTCTGTCTGTCACTTTAATATTTTTGACTGAGGCTTCAAAAGACTTGGCACTCTCTTGACGATTTAGCACTGGTTTACCAGTATTTTCAAAACTATTTCCTCGAACATGTTTGGTGTTATTGCGTTCTGGAGTTGTACTCCGACTATGCACAGGTGTTGCGTTACGTGAGCGATGAATGTTTTCGTGACTAAAATGTCGTCTGATTACGCCTGGAAGAAGATCAACCAAAGAACGACTTTTACAACGAGACTGTCTTTCAAGTTTGGGCGAATTGTGACTAGATGATGGTTTATAACCATTTGACTTCATATAATTGTGCACTTCCTTGCTGGCCACGTTCAGAAAATTTGGATTGGACACAGACTTGCGAAGAGTCTCATGGTTGCCCTTTCCCATTAATCGCCGAATCCGACGAACACTTGGGCTTGGACTCCGGTCGACCAGAGCCCCTGGTCGAAGAACATTATAATAGTCGACAGACTTGCTGCGGTCTCTAGCATCCCAGTCTGCACTGTTGCGAAATGCCTGCAGTCTGGTGAATGGCATCGGTGGTTTGTCGTGATTCATGTTTTCGTCGACCTCATCGTTCTCGTTCTCATTGTCCGACCCATCATTGTAATACAGCTGCATCTTCATGTGATCGCTGAGGTCTTCACAGCTTGCTGACGCTTGCTTCATGTCTTTTACCTCCTGGCTCGTCATTTTGGAGTCAACATTATCGTTGTCATACTGCGACTGGTCGAATCCAGACACCGGAGATGAGTTATAACTGTCGCCTGCCACTGCAGACAGATAGTATGACCGACTGCTGGTATAGGAGGAATCTTTGAAACTGGTATCAGAATTCCGGTAACTGGTTTCAGATCCAGCCGTACTCAATCCACTGACCCTTGGACTAATTTCAGATCTGAAAATGGTTTCCGCATTCAGAGAGTCATTAGCAACCGGGCTCAAATAATCGGAACCCATTAACCTTGGGCTGGAGAAGTTCATCACATCATTGAACGAAGGTGGAGGATCCCACTCCTGGATTCCAGGGGACTTTGGAGAAAGAGGATTTGAGCCGAACGATTTGGAAGGACTGGGGGACGTCATACCCATATATCCGTCTGTATGCGAGTTGGAGTTGGTGACCCTAGGTCTGGGAACAGGTCGTCCCAGAGCTCCGTTTGTGTGAGGGATCTTCACAGGTCTGGGGGGAGGGGCCGGGGGCCGTCCCGTCAGTCGAGGTTCTCCAGAGACAGCAGATATTGGCGTGTCTTGTCTCATCTGTGAGCTCAATGGTGGTGAGTGTTTCGATGTTGAGCCGGTTGATTGTCGTGAAGCTAGAGACCTTCAACAAACAGAGGGAAGCATTGGAAATATGCTATCAGGCCAGACCAATTTTATTTCTTGTTTTATGGATTTTTGTCCTCAGGAAACCTAAAGGCAGGTGGTAAATTTTGTTTTTTAAAAAATCACCAAAGTAATATTCCTTTTAAATACTAAAAGTATTTTACTTTTGGCAATTTATGAAGTGTATATGGGGCGAAAAAAAAAAAAAAAAAAATCTTGTAAGATTACATTTTTGTCCAATAAAAACATTAGGATTTTATTTTATGAGCGGTGAAAGTTTTTAAATATTTTTTCTTATTCTAAAAAAATATGACCAGCGGATCCGTAAAACAAGAAATAAAATTGGTCTGGCCTCATATGCGCAATTGTAACTAAAACAAAAATGTGAACTGTGACATGAGCTAAAATCAGTTGGACATATTGATAACTGTCACGGTCTCTTCATAACTAAATCAGTAGCAGGAACAAAAACAGATTAACATATTAACTTCATCACTGCAAATTCATCAGAATGCTACAACTAAACATTCTTGTTCTGTATCATTTGCTACAGTCAAGTTAGTAGGAACATGCTCCTTCTTGTACAATATCCATGCAAGTATACTGTCGACGCAGTTATCTCCCTTAGTCAACGTTCCTTGTGATGGTCACTGTGACGCTATCATAAATGATGGAAACAATCGCTGATGCAGAATTTCCGAGTGGAATGAATAAGTCATTTTATCTACTGTTTTCTGACACCTTGAATTTACCTGATTTTCACAACAGCTTGAATTTACGTGACGTTCCATCATTTGGAATTTACCTAACCTTGAATTTAACCCAACATTTCTTTCACTTTTGACTAATGCATTTCTAACAAAACTGGAAAGTGAAATGAGTGAGAACTTACGATAATGAAATACTGGAGTCTTGAGCACGGTGAGAGATGCCACCATTCATGACAGGGTTGTTGTTGGGCTCGATCCTCACTCCTGGATTGAGAAGAAATATGTGATGAAACACTAATAATAGACTTGCCCAGTAGTGAAGGCAGCATTTTTATTTTCTGTGTTTCTCATCGCCCGACCGACCCTAATTTCATATTTCATTGCTGACCAAAACACTCCAACAATGACTCGAACCTATAACGTACCGAATCGTCACATAAAATATTACCACACTCGCACGCACACACACGCGCACGCCACACTGCCGCAGCATACACACACACAAAATCACAGTTATGTCCCTTGGGAGCGAGAGAAACTGTAATCAGAATTACAAAAATGAGAATCAAGAACACTATTCAGATAGTTTCGTCTATTCAGGTGTCTCTCCTGATATTCCCCACCTGTCATGGTATAATTCCAATTATCCTGCAGTATCAGAGGGACCCCAGGGATGGTCAGCTTGCAGGGCTTGATTGTGGTCAGCGTATGCATACGATCAAACTCCTGTAAGTAGTCCTCTATTTCCTGGTCAGTGCCTCGCCGTGTTATCTGAATACGCACAAAATAGTTCTGTTAATAAACGTCAAACAATCTGAACTATATCCCAAGGCGAGAAGACCAACATGAATGAGGTCTTCGTCACAGATTACAAGGGAAACAGGAGTTGAGATTTTGTAAGTATCATTAATGAAGATTTCATGCAAAAAAAAAAAGGATGATTTCATGCAAAACGCTCTTGGCAAATTTGTATTCATATCCCTAGAACTAAGGGACTAAATTGTTGTCTTCAGCATGACCAGTGGACCATTTGAGGCAGTTTCCTGTAAAACAGATCTTCCTTTGTTCGAGACATTTCATGTAAAAACAGTTAGAGGTTAGAATGACAACAAGACAGCTCCTGACCTTTGACCTATCGAGTGTCTCCATGATGTATCTGTCGAGGAGATCATACATGCTGCTGTCATCCCCTGGCTGGGTCTGGAACAGATAGATCCCCTCCCCCATGGAGCCATCTGCAAAGGAGATCCATGCGCTGTCTCCAGGGTGAGGAGGCCCCGCCCAGATGACTCGTAACAACGGATGCTCTTGATCGGCCACTGTGCTACGATACATCGTGATTGCTGAAAGGATGAATGTCAAGATGCAAATATCTTTTCATTTTTTGGTCTCCCTGGTGTAGTGGTTAGAGCGTCCGCCCGGAGAGCGGAAGGTCGCGGGTTCGATCCCCGACTGCGTCATACCAAAAGACGTTAAAATATGGTACTTGTTGGTCCCTGCCTGGTGCTTGGCATTAATGGGTACAACAAGGACTGCTTCACTGCGGCATGGTATCTCAGTGGGCTAGCACTAAGCTTCAGTCTGGGCTAGTACAAGCAGCCGCACATACACATACATGCACATCATCATATGAGCGGAATATTCTCAAGCACGACGTTAAACCCAATTTCACCTCACCCCACCTCATTTTTTGTTCTATCAGTACATTTGATATAATAAGAGGTATCAACTTACTTACACAATCAATCCGCTTGGTACAATAAAAAAATTTTTTCTCACATTCTATGCATATAAACCACATTATTTTGTATATTATGCAATTTCATCACATAACAAATATGCATAAATAACACCTGTACTACCAGTGTATATATCATGTATCCCATTACACTACTGCTTAGTCTCTGAATATATAGAATTTTGATAGGAACAAATAATTCCTTTTAAATTGAAAAGGAGCCGGGGAGATGGGAGATTCAGATTCGGAAATCTAGACTTGCTTCATTTAGGCCACTGACATTTCTGAAAGGGCTGGGCATGAGGGAAAATTGTGGTTCAGGGACTGTGAGACTAGTATCTCAAATGTACTGCAAGGGTATATATCATGTATCCATCCTGTACTGGGAGTGTGTATATCATGTATCCCACCTTTAATGCTAGTGTCATGCCCCAGGGAGAGGCATGTAAGATGCAGGTTGTGCTGACCGCTCCCATCCGCCGCATCGCCTCTGAGTTTTCTGGCTGGACCAAGATCATATCGTCTGAAAACCACATGGAAAACTTCATCAACTGCTTCACTAACGGTACACAAACAAAGCTTAACACACAGAATATTCATTCAAAAGAAGCTTTAATCATTTTCAAAACAGATAAATTTTGGTAAATTGCATGATTTTTCTTTTTAACATGCTATACTTTTTATCGATGATTTATCAATTCCAGGGATTTACAGGACGATGAATTCCTGCGTCCTATACTCATAAAAATTGACAATGGACGCAACAAAATTTAACAGCGCGTACAAGGGGATGCAGGAAAAGTCCAAATACTTTTCATAACATTTCAATCAAGTAACAACAAGTCATCACTGAGTCTGCTACAGGCGGGTTATGGTATCATTTGCAGTTTAATTGCTGTAACAATGTGATGATCATGATACACAATACAATAACAGTAACTGAATTACAACAATATTACAACATAGTATTCATAATAATATTTAAGCGTCTGGGACCCCCACTTTGTAGTCCAGGACCCAGAAAATTAGGAGTATGAGTCCCAAGGACCCTCAAATATAGAACAAGGAAACTCCCTGCAATTCTTCTGTCACGCAAGAGCTGCTCTGATTCTTTATGTATGTATATCTTTATCAATCTGTATCAATACTGTCAAGCTGTAAAAACTAAATAGGTTACTATGGCAACTGTTTTGAGGATGAAACAAACATAGTCAACGTTTTAGTAAATGGTTTCCTTAACTTCTGGGCAGTGGGGTAGCCTAGTGGTTAAACCATTCAGCTCATCACGCCTAAGACACAGGTTCAAATCCCCACATGTACAATGTGTGAAGCCTATTCCTGGTGTCCCCGCCATGATATTGCTGGAATATTGCTAAAAGCGACGTAAAGCTAAAACTCACTCACTCACACACCCTTAACTACTGAAAGTTTGTTCATACAGCAGGAACAGACCCACTTTCAAACTCAAGGAAAGAAAAGACATTTGACAACAAAAATCAATAATGTCCTCTTTGTTAACCAGTATAAGCATGAGTGGCCACACGTTGACTCCTGTCCCTACAATATCCCACAAATACCCCACACAAAAATCAATCAACTGAACAAAACATTTCCCACTGATAGCCTTCGCTACAATAGGAAAATCATGCATATTTTGACAAAAGCACAGACAACAAGTGGCTATTCATGAGATTGAAATTTCTTGAACATTTTATTTGAATACCTCATTTCACTTTTTATGCCTCAACACTTTTTGAATTTCCCACCCACGCCATACCTTTGATGTTTTCCAGCAAACGGGCTTGTATCTGGAGAATGAAGACAAACATGTCCATAGCTTTCTGTTCCTCTGCCGACAAACATACTTGATTTTCTGGTGTTGTCAATTCAAACACAAAAGCTCGATTTTTGGTATTCGGAAGTTTCTCGATCCTGAACGATGGATGCAGCCATATCCGCCCTGAAAGAGAATGGAGACACACATATTATAGATATGCAACAGTTTCAGATGATTTGAATAATCTACATGTTATACCATGCTTTATTTCATTCTATGTCACATGGGTACAATGTGTGGAGCCCATTTCTGGTGTCCTCCACGGTAATATTGCTGGAATATTGCTAAAAGCAGCATAAAACAAAACGCAGCCACTCATTCCATGTAGACTAATGTTTAGTCTCTGAGTATATATATATAACTCTGTAACAAATAAACCCATTTAAATTGAAAAGGAGTCCCAGTGAGACCTCAGATTCATGAACCTGAGGAAATCTAGACTTGCTTCATTTAGCATTGCAGGGAGGGCTAGGCTATAGGGAAATATAATGTGGTTCAAGGACTGTGAGACAGACTACATTTTATGGTACTTCATCATTGATAAATTATTAATCAGCTCGGTTTGCTTGAAAATGTAGCATTTGTGTCTGAATATTGTTCTTGGCTTTCATGTCAATTTATTTTGGTATAATAATTTGTTCATGGCCTTATGTTTAACTAAAACAACATTCATCATTTAAAGTGACGTGGAATGGTAAGTCACGCTGATGAGAATAACCTTGTCTTCAAGAGAAGCATGACCATGCTCAGGATTGGAAGTAAAGCATGAACGTCAATGGCGCCCTGTCATAAGCAGAATATTTTGATTTGAAGATTCAGGATGTCTTACACCTTCTCCTTTCAAACTGCTATAGCAGTTAACTGCAAGCACCCCAGCACCTCCAATCATCATCCACCACTCTCCTGACACTATACACTCACTCCTGAGCATTTCCACCAGTACCTTCCCTCCCCCATCAACACCACCACTTTCCTTCCCACCAGTAGCCACAACCCCCACCCCAATTTAATCATCAATCATCATCACCATCATCATCATCATCATCATCATCATCAACACCAACACCAACACCAACACCAACCACTCTTCTGACACTATACCCAGAACTTTGCCACATCCCACCTGAGACATCAGTAGCCACCCCCTCTATTTTAATCATCATTATCATCATCATCATCAACACCCACCACTCTTCTGACACTATACCCAGAACCTCAAGATCTCCCACCTGAGACTTCCCACTAGTACCTCCCCTCAAACTCCATCGACATCACCAGTTCCCTCTCCCCTTACACACTCCCCTTCCTTCTAACCCCTTACTTTTAATCGTGGTCATCAATATCAACACCCACCACTCTTCTGACACTACACCCAGAACCATGCCACATCTCATCTGAGACTATCCACCAGTGCCTCCCTTCACACCCGGTCCACAACACACTTCTCTTCCCCCCTGCCCCTCCACCATTCCCTCTCCCCTCTAACCCCCTTAATTTTAAGCAGCCATCCCATCAATGCTCTCTTCCCTCTCATCTCTGATGATTCACACTCTGCAGTGATCACAAATTACTAGACATGAAAGTAATTGTTCAGCAAAAAAAACATAACACAAAACAGGTGCTTGTCTCCATCAGGCTGTCAGCCCCTCCCTGCCGCTACCTGCCTCCCTCTGGCTGTACATTCCCAGCATACCTCCACTTACCTCCACAGCCAGCAACACTAGTCTCCTACCTGTACATACACTCAGTATGTGCACCAGTCTCACAGCAGTTCATGTACTCTTTATTAGCGGCTCAGAATACATTATACATTCTCGGAATTACTACGTTCTACTAACGAATGTGAAGTCAGTAATTGACACAATGTAATTACCATGCTCAGCCCTTACCAGTATTATGGAAATTACTTGTTCCTACGTAAAAATGCATTCTTAGTCATGGCAGTGAAATAATGTAAAGCTCCCAGCAGAAAATTTAGATTTTGTAATTTCATCATTTTTCTCCTTGAACCTTCCGTTACTGTGACGTTATAGGCTTATTCAGGCAGAATTAGATTATCGACAGGTTCTGTCTCACTGGGGTTCCTTTTAATTTAAATTTAGTTGTTTAGTTTCTATAATGGCTTCAATTATGAACATGAGTTTACATTTTAACACTTCATGTATTAATGTATACTTAATGAAAACTAACTATTTCTAACAGTTATTACAGTTTTAAACATTAAGCATTTTAAAAACAACAACTCATGCATATTTAAAGCCTATGATATTTCTGTCCAAGGTATATCAATTTACAGAGACTTATAAATAACGCACTATAGTAACTCAGGATTACTTGTTGTTCTAACTTTAAATTCTAACTTTAAACAATTAAACTGGATGTCATTCTGTGGCATTTGATAAGCTAACCAGGCAACATTTTTGCTTGCTTAAAATTAAAACAAAAACTGGCCACACCCACTAACACAGCCATTGTTTCCTCACAGATTAACTGGGCGGGGCTTGTGCTGCATTGTTTAGTAATCAGTGTCACTGATAATTAATTAAGCTGTCTGTGAAATTATTATTGTTGACACATATATTTATAGGATGTCGTGTGCTACACCTTCTTTTAAATTTATTCCTTTTATAACAGTGAAATAAATACTCAAAGTCGATTCAAGTCACTTCAAGTTTTGTAGATGTAAATATCCTAATTTAAACAGTTCCAGAACTTTAACTTTAAAAATATACCATCAAATAACAATCTGCACAAGTCAACGACTTCATCATGTCATTTCAAAATCATCATCATCATCATCATCATCATCATCACCATCATCATCATCATCATCATCATCACCATCACCATCATCATCACCATCATCATCATCACATCATCATCATCATCATCATCATCATCATCATCACAATCAAATCATAATATTGTCATGTCTATGGATGATTTATCATCATCATCATCATCATCATTATCATCATCATCACCACCACCACCATCAGTCATACATCATCATCATCACAGTCAAATCAAAAGTCAAATATTGTCATGCCTATTGGGGCGTGTGGGGTAGCCTAATGGTTAACATTCGATTCCCCACATGGGCACAATGTGTTAAGCCCATTTCTGGTGTCCTCCGCCGTGATATTGCTGGAATATTGCTAAAAGCGGCGTAAAACCATACTCAGTCAGTCAGTCAGTCATGCCTATTGATGATTTATCATCATCATCATCATCATCATCATCATTTGATGATTTCATTTCTTACAGAGTACATGACAACAGAAATACACCAAACTAAGTACTTCCACTAACTGTAGACATCATGGGTACCTCTGTTACTTGGGAACTATTGTTCATTGTGACCCAGTAATGTGCTGTTCTCCACAACGAGAGGTATTGTCCTATGAAGGAAGACTTTTCAAGGTCATTGGAAGCAGGAAAAAGAAACAGATGACTACACCAGTTTAATTTGATCCTGTACAAACTCCATAAGTCATATAACTTGTGTGCCTTGAGATTGTGACAGGATTATTCTCATTCACAAGACTATGATATTCTTTTATTACATAAAAAGTTCATAAATGTCGTCACTTCTGTTAAGCAATATCTCAATACATTCAGGACTACAAACACATGAAAACTTGTCGGTGTCATGTGACTTACAGCTTGTTGCTGCAAGTTAAGGCTTGTCAGCTTTAGTTTACATTTTGCAATTCAACGTCAATAAACCCTCTATGTAACACCACTGTAAAATCAGACTGCCTGTTTGTTTGTAAGCAAGCAATACCTATACATTACAGAACTGTTATTGAAGACATCAAGCCTTAATTCTCTTTCTTCTGTCTCTTTTGTCTAAGGTCCTACTGTGCAGAGCTGATCCCCTTGGGTAACCTGAGTGAGTAGGTGAGTTAGTGAGTGCAATATCACGGCTGGGGACACCAGAAAGGGGCTTCACAAATTGTACCCATTGAACAGACGGCAGATTGCAAGTAACTGAATATTCACAGCCTGTTTAGTCAACAGTTTCTATAAAAAGGGTATTTAACATACAAATATATCTTTAATGAACTGCAAAGAATTTAACAGCACAAATAGTCCTTAATGGGTACAATAACAGTAAATGTAAATATTTGAGTGTATAACTATTTGCAGTTTGTTGAATTTGTTTTGTTGAGTATTCAGTAGGGGTGGGTATTGCAGGGAATTTTCATATTGCAATATCTTGCGATGCGAAAGCATGTATTGTGGTATGTATTGCAATATATTGCATGAAGTATTTTTAAACAAAAAAATACTTATAATCGAGTTAATGCTTGATTTATAGTGCAAAAACAAAACCAAATTACCATGTTTGATTAAGCTTTAATAACTTTTAATCATGATAAAATAAAAATGTGAATAATATTTGGCACAAATGATAAAAGGAAATATACAAAGATTTCCAAGTGTTACGAAGTTTTCCGATTGCAAGTCAAAATACTGGTTTTCGATCAGCGTATAGTAATACGTATCGTTTTCATGTCTGAACCAGTAAATACTGGTAAACCGGTTATATTGCGCAGTCCTAGTATTCAGAACAATGACCTTTCAAGAATCCCAATGACAGTGATCAAGCTTGTCATATCTGATGCAATGTTTGACATTTCACTTAGTTCTCCCCATATGATAACAAGTGGCAACTTGACAATAGACAATAGTTAAATAACCACTAAAGAGAAGCCAGATATATCACAGCCATGCACACAAGAATGGACTCATTGTACCCACGAAAAGGTTTTGTTTTGTTGTTTGCAGCAATATTCCAGCTATATGGCGGCAGTCTGTAAATAATATAGTCTGGGCCTGACAATCCAGTGATCAACAGCATTAGCATCGATCTACACAATTAGGATATGATGACGTGTCAACCAGGTCAGCGAGCCTGACCACCCGATCCTGTTAGTCGCCTCTTACGACAAGCATGGGTCACTGAAGACCAAATCTAACCCGGATATTTACGGGTGTATCCATGAAAGGAACTGAACCCAGGGATTCAGCAAGACAACCAAACACTTTACCATGTAAGCTAAGCCCAACCTCCCCCACAGACTAACAGACAACCATGCTAATTTTTATCTCAGCCA